AGCAATCACAGGCACCTTCCACAGGGGTGACCTCATCTCTGGGTTCTCCCTTGGGTGGATGTGGCCCGAGGGTGTCTCTGCCATAGAACTGCTTTGCTGGCATGACTAGTATGCAGCACTGTCGCTGTGTGAGCTCAGACCAAGCGTGTCCTTTGAACTGTGGCCTGCCCGGGAGGCAGGTGTGCAGGGCACAGCACAGCGCCTTCTGGACACACGAGAGTGCGTCACACTTCCGTTGCCTCCTGTGCCTTCTCTTGTGCCTCTGTGACCCTCACTGAGAAGTCAAGGAGAACAGAGGCGCCACTCAACAGGAGAAAAGCTTTGGTGTATGCTAGGAGTGGGTTTTTTGGTTTGGCTTAAAAAAAAAAACAAAACAAAACTAGGGATTGAACCCAGGATCTTTGTACTGAGCTATTACCCTAGCTCTTTTTATTCTTTATTTTGCGACAAAGTCTTACTAAATTACTAAGATGCCCAGGACAGCTTGAACTTGTGATTCTCCTGCCTCAGCCATGCGCCACCGTGCCTGGCTGTAGTAGGAATTCTGTGAGGAGCCTGGCTGGCCACTTCAGTCTCATGCCATAAGCTGGCTTAGTTGGCCATTCACTCACTATGGATTTGCTCATGTTCTCTTTTTTTATCCTGGAATTGTATGCCCACATTTTTTTTCTTTGAGACAAGAGTCTCACTGTGTAGCCCAGTCTGGGCTTGAACTCGCCATCCTGTTGTCTCATCCTCTTCGTGCTGGGATTACATGTGTGTCCCACCGCATCTGGCTCCCCACTGAGTCTGACTTACTCCTTTTTTTTCAACACCATTATTTATGTATGATTCACATACCACTCAGCACACTTAAAGTATATAACTGAGTGTCTCTCGTGCATTCACATAGCTGTGCCTTCCTCACTACATTCAAATATATCACCTCCAACCCCTATAATCATTAACATCCCCCCTCCCCCCACTATCTACTTCTGGCCTTTGACAGCCTCTGATCTACTCGTGTAGCTGGAATCCTAAAATATGTGATATTTTCTCTGTGGCTTCTTTCATTTAGCCTAATGTTTCCACGGCTTAGCAGGACTATAGCTTGTATCTGAACTTTGTTCTTTTATGACCAAATAATGTTTGAATATGGCACATTCTGCTTATGTATTCATCTGCTGATGGACATTTTGATTGTTTTCACTCTTTGCCTGGTAGGAAGAATGCTAGCCAGGTGTGGTTGTACATACCTGTAATCCCGGCTATTCACAAGTTTGAGGCCAGCCTGGCCTACTTAGCGAAACCCTGTTTCAATAAAATGGAGCTTGGTAATAGAGCACTTGTCCAACATGGCTCTGCGTGGCCCTGGATTCAGTTTCCAGTACCAGAACAAAGCAAGACAAATTGCTGCTGTAAATACTCATGTACAGGGCAGGCAAGATAGTTCTGCGAACTAAGTGCCTGCTTAGGTGGTGCAGGGACTGGGGTTCAATCTCTGGTACCACATGCCGCACCAGCCCTACCTCTGGGCATGCTGAACTGGCCATAGAGTCCGGGTGTGGTGGCACATGTCTGTAATCCTAGCGCTGGGGAGGCTGAAAACAGGAGGATCACTATGAGTCTGAGCTGCGTAGTGAGACCCTGTACCAAATAACTTTAAAAACAAAATAACAGCAACAGCAACAAAAACTCAGGGGCTGGGAAGATGGCTTAGCAGAATAAGCTCTTGCCCAGCAAATACAAGGGCCTGAGTTCAATCCCTAGTTCCACCAAAAAAAGAAAGAAAAAGAAAAACTCATGCACAAGTTTTTGTGTGGACATATGATTTTTTCTTGGGTATTACCTAGGTACAAGTGGGCCATACGATTATCCCAACCATGTGAAGAACTCCTGGACTGTTTTCCTAAGTGGTTGCACTTTGGAGGTGGATAACAATTCCAATTCCTTGAGGTTCTCACTAACATTTGTTATTAGCTTTTTCATTATGGCCACCCCAGTGGGTATAAAATGGTATCTCATGTGATTTTGCTTAGTGTTCCTCTTGCTTTCTTTTTTTGAGGTACCAGGGATTGAACTCAGGACCTTGCGCTTGCCAGGCAAGCACTTACTCTACTGAGCTATCTTCCTGGCCCACTTGCTTGCTTGCTTTTCTTTTCTTTCTTTCTTTCTCTTTCTCTTTCTCTTTCTCTCTCTCTTTCTGTCTTTCTCTCTCTCTTTCTTGATAGGGTTTCCCTATGTAGTTCAGGCTGACCTCAAACTCATAGTGATCCTCCTGCCTCAGCCTCCCAAGTGCTGGGATTGTAGGTATGTGCCACCATGCACAGCTGAATTGCATTTCTATATCATTAATGATGTTGAGTATCTTTTCATGGGTTTATTGGCCATTTTTATATCTGATTTAGTGAAAAGTCTATTTAGATCCTTTGCCCGTGTGTGTGTGTGTGTGTGTGTGTGTGTGTGTGTGTGTTGCTGGAGATCGAACCCAGGGCCTTGTGCATGCAAGGCAAAAATTCTGCCACTTAGCCACATCCCCATCCTCCTTTGCCTATATTATTATTATCTTTTTTTTTTCCTGGCTTAGGATGCCTTCAGGGCAGGTTTAGTAAGGCTGGAGGATCTGGGGATTGAACCACAGCAACCTGAGCCTGACTGCTCTGTTTAAGCAGTCACTAAATAACTGAGCTCATGGGCAGGCCCCCTGCCTATATTATTATTATTATTATTATTATTATTATTATTATTATTAGTTCATGTTGTCACTATGCAGCTCACACTTGTAGTGATCCTCCTGTTTTCAGTTTCCCCAGCGCTGGGATTACAGATGTGTGCTACCATGCCCAGTGTCTCCTTTACCTATTTTAAAAATGAGTTGTCTTTTTAAGTATTGAATTATAGATTATTTTTATATTCCACACACAGGTCTCTTATCAAATACGTGATTTGTAAAATCTCCTTTCAATCACTTTTTCTTGGTAATGTTAGGTAAAGCATGGTAGCTTTTAATTTTGATTTGTTGTTATTCTTTTTTTTTTTTTTTTTTTAGAACCGGGGATTGAACTCAGGCCCTTGCACTTAGCAGGGAAGCACTTATTCCACTGAGCCATCTCCCTGGCCCTGTTGTTGTTCTTATTGTTGGTACTGGAAATCAAAATCAGGGCCTTATGCTTGCCAGACAGGCGCTGAGCCACTGAGCTACCTGCCTGGCTGCTTATTTATTTATTTGTTTGTTTGTTTGTTTATTTATTTTATTTTTGTGTGTGTGTGGCCAGTTCAGCCCACCAGGGGGCGGGGCTGTCTGGCATGTGGTGCTGGGGATTGAACCGTGGTCCCTGTGCTTTTGCTTAGCTTAGCTTGTTCTAAGTAGGTGCTTTAGACCACTGAGCCATCTCACCAGCCCCATACTTTTAATTTTAATAATATCTGTGACTTACAATTATGGGGAAAATGGACAGAAATGATGATCATAGGCACAGAGCTAAGTTCCAACTGTATATAGCATCTGTGAATTGACTTGCTGTAGCCATGCTTAACAGTCCAAAATTGACTCAGCACAATAAGGGATGTCCCTGCTTGTCAACATCTTAGGTCCTCATGAGCAGCCCGAATTTGTTGTGGGTTTTTTGGTGTTTTTTTTTTTTTAATTTTTTTTCCATTTATTTATTTATTGTGTGTGTGTGTGTGTGGCCAGCTCAGCCCACCAGGGGGCGGGGCTGGCTGGCATGTGGTGCTGGGGGATCGAACCACGGTCCCTGTGCTTTGCCAAGTTTGTTCCAAGTAGGTGCTTTAGACCACTGAGCCATCTCACCAGCCCGAGCCATCTCACCAGCCCTTTTTTGGTGTTTTTGTTGTTGTTGTTTTTTTTTTTTTTTTTGCGGAACCGAGGATTAAACTCAGGTTCAACTGAACTATGTCCCTGGCCCACAGCCCAAATTTGGTAAAATAGGTTGGGATGCTTTCTGGAGAGCAGCTCTAATGTGGGGACACTGCGTATAGATGGGAATACTTTGCAGTGCACAGCACAGTGCCCAAGGCTGGAGAACTAAGGCAGGTTGTGTGGGAAGATATACTTTGCCCCAGATCTGTCTGAATACATGATTATTGTAGTATTTTACCATGCCTGGATTGCTATAAAACGAATTGTTGAAGGGTTGGCCTCGAAGTCATGTTCCTTCTGGCTGAGAGTTGTGGCTTTTGGAAACAGCTTGAACCCTGCTAGCAGGAGGCCTCCTCAGGTGCCCATCCATTGCTTGGCTGAAAGTCAGATGGGATGCGAATCCCCTGCTTGGACTGAGAAATGCAGAAGTATTGTCAGCCCAGAGGAACTGTAGAATTCTGGTTGGCACCTTTCAGAAACCCACACTCAGGAAATAGCAGCTCTTGGGCTGGTGAGATGGCTCAGTGGTCTAACGCACCTACTTGGAACAAGCTTAGCAAAGCACAAAGGACCACAGTTCAGTCCAGCCAGCCCCGCCCCCTGGTGGGCTGAGCTGGCCACACACACACACACACACACACACACACACACACACACAAATAAATAAATAAATTTTAAAAAAAAAAAGGAAATAGCAGCTCTTGCTGACATCTGGTCTTTCTGGGACTCAGTTTTTATTTATGAAATGCTTTTATCTGCAAATAGATTTTTTACTTTTTAATAGGCTTTTTCTCTTTGAGAGGAACCAAGGCTCATAGTTTTGGGTTTGTTTGTTTTTTTAGGCTCATAGTTTTGCTTTCTGACATCTCAGTGTAACTCTGCTGAGTCAGGAAGCCTCTGCCAGAAGCAGAGGGGGGATAATTGCTAGCCAAAAAGCAACACAGCTGTCCCTTGCACTTCAGTACGCTCCTTGCTTCCTCTCATCCACCTCAGTCCAGGCAGGGAAAGCTTGTGGTTAGCAGCGGTAAGTACCCTGGATAACCACCTCACGCATTGCTCAGGAGAGAGCCTGGTGAGGAACGCCTGATAGTGCCTCAACTCTGTCCCCTCCTCCTAAGCCTTTCTTTCTCTATCCACTCAGCTGCCTAACATGTTCGGTGACCTTCGATCCACATTTATTGCCTTGATGATTGGATCCTACGCCTCCTCAGCGGTCACCTTCCCGGGAATCAAGGTGAGGGTGTGGCCAGTGGAGTTCCAGCACATTTACTCTGCACTCACATCTGTGCAGTGACTCCTCCAACCTTCTCTGACAAAGAGGGAAGTCAGTGTCGGCCCTAACGGTGGCCAGTCTGTCCATGCGCCTCCCCCAGGGCAAGATGCAGCTGAACACCACAAGCAAGAAAAAGAAAAACAAGAGCCAGGGAGATACCTCAATAGAATAAGCACTTGTCTGGCAAGTGCAAGGTCCTGAGTTCAGTCCCTTGTACTACAAAAAAAAAAAAAGAAAAGAAAAAGAAAAACACCCAATCACGGGAGACTCCAGAATGTCACTTTTAAAAAAAGAAGAAGAAAGAAAGAATGCTGGGGAGGGGCTCACTCCAGTCCTGAGCACCCCTTCCCCTCCCTGTTGTTGTTGGGCTCTTGCTCCCAATTAGCCTAGAGCTGAGCTCTCTGCCAAGTTGGTTCAGCTGTTTCCCTCCCAGGCAGGGTTCCGAGCCCCTGGAAGTCATGGAGGGTTAGCACGGAGCAGACCTCTCACAGCCTGCAGCCTGGTTCCCTCCCCAGATCCTCTGGTTCTGTTGGCTTCAGCAGGGGCTGCTCCCTTCGGGCATCAGCACCAGGTCAAAAGCCACCTCTGCAGGGGTGGGGGAAGGCGCTGGTGAGGAGGGAGCTGCACCGACGTGGACTGATCACCAGGAGTCGGGGTAGCCGGCAGGAGCCTGGGGCCAAGCCGCCCATGGACTTTCTCAGATACCCTTGCTCTTGAGTCATGGAGAGGAGCCCACAAGTTCCTCCCTCTTTTCAGTGTCTAACCGCTGGCCGACATGACCAGCTGAGTGGCGGTGTGCCAGGACTTGGGGGGCCCTGATCGAGGCGCTGCAAATAAATGGTGCTCAGGACAACAACTGCTAATTAGTGTCTGCGGGCTGCCTGCGTGCTGGCTGTGTGTTCAGCGCTCTGCATGAGGACACGTGCCAGGGTCCCGCCCACTTCACAGGTAGCAAAGGCAGATGCATTGTTCTGTGGCTCTGTGAGCATTTGGGGAGGACATGTGTGGTGTGCTCATTAGGGCCCTGGAGAGCCCTCTGCAGACGAGGTAGTGGGGCCTGACCTTAGGGAACTGGACTAGCAGTAGACAAGCAAATGACTCAAGAAACACGATCATCTCAGCCAGCACTGTCCACTGTGAGCCAGTGAGCCAGGGGTGTGACAGTGAGGGGGTCATCAACTGATGCCTCTCCAGGATGGCGACACTTGGTCCAAATTGGAGGCACAGAGTTAATGACATGCCAGTAATCCCAGACAAATTGGGATTATTGGAATGCAGGGCTTCTGATAGATGACCAAACAGCCATGCTGATGGCGCTGTGTCTCCTCAAACAGCTCAGCACGGTGAGGCAGGAGATGCCAGGAGCCCCATGCCTGCTCTAACTGTGCCCCTCTGTCCCGCCCATCCCCCTATGCCTCTCAGCTCATCTACGACACGGGTGCATCCTTTATCATCATCCTTGTGGTCTGGGCTGGCTGCTCCGGGCTGGTTTTCTTCAATTGCTTCTTTAACTGGCCCCTGGAGCCTTTCCCAGGCCCGGAGGACATGGACTACTCGTAAGTAGACGTGCCCTGCCCCCGCCCTCGCCAGCCAGGTTCCCAGAGAGGCAGCAAACACTCTCCCGTGGCATCCAGGGTGAAGATCAAGTTCAGCTGGCTGGGCTTTGACCACAAGATCACAGGGAAGCAGTTCTACAAGCAGGTGACCACAGTGGGACGCCGCCTGAGTGTGGGCAGCTCCATGAGGAGCGCCAAGGAGCAGGCTGCATTGCAGGAGGGCCACAAGCTGTGCCTGTCCACCGTCGACCTGGAGGTGAAATGCCAGCCAGATACTGCAGGTACCACCTAGGAGCCCTCGCCTTCCAGGCCTGCCTGGAAGAGACACAGGCGGGTGCCCCTGCAGCCACTCCCCAGGCAGTCAGGAGCACTGCCCGTCCAGACCTGGAGGTCACAGCCTGTGTTCTTCTGACTGGGGCCAGTGCTGGCCGAGGCTTTGGGGGTGTCACTGAATTTCCACTTCATCCTCAAAAGGGAAGTGGCATCACCTGCCCTGTTTACAGATGAGCACACCAAATTAAAGCTCAGAGAGGAGATGGCGTGTAGCTCAGCAGCACATTGCCTGCCTGGCAAGCACAAGGTCCTGAGTTCAATTCCCAGTACCAAAAAAAAAAAAAGCTCAGTTTAGGTAGTGATGGCAAACCTATGGCGCCTGTGCCACTGCCAGCTAGTTATTACCATTGAAGGCTTACTCTCACTACATTAGGGGCTTTGCCCACCTCCAGCACCATGAGCCCCACTGGGGTCTGCCTGCTCCTTAGTCGTCCCCCCTCACTATCAGGGGAGCGGATTTTGTCTATACTTGGGGTCCCCAGTGGTGGGTGGGCTAGTGCCCAGCCCTGAGCCCCACCCCCTCTCTCTGCAGCGGCACCCTCATTCATGCACAGCGTGTTCAGCCCCATCCTGCTGCTCAGCCTGGTCACCATGTGTGTCACGCAGCTACGGCTCATCTTCTACATGGGGGCCATGAACAGTATCCTTGAGTTCCTGGTCAGCGGGGACCAGAAGACAGGTAGGTGTCCCCTGAAACTCAGTGTCTAGTGCCAGTAACTCCTGCTGGCTGGAGTCAGGCCTCTAGGCACCGGCTGCAACCCATTAGGCTGAGCCCGACCCACAGTGCTGTGGAAGAGCAGCATCTGGGACACTGTTTGCTTGTCTGTTTCATCACAGCCAGCCCTGACTGTTCTTTCATGTCCCCATCAGGGTTTCCTGGTTTGGGAGGGAGGGAAGGACTAAAATAGCCACATGTGTGGAGGGTGAGGGGTATGAGGTTTCCAGGGCTGGAGTGGGAGGGCTGAGGGTGTGTGTAACTGAAAATGCAGCACAGAGCAGCATCCCCAACCTGAGTACTCATGGAAAGACCCAGCCCTGCACCAGCCCCCAGAGACCCCGGAGGCCCTGGGGACTCTGGGGGCCATGGCTAAGGATGGGTGAGCTGGCTGGAGTTTGCGCAGTAGGATCTGTGTTCTGGACTGTGAAACAAAGACTCCCTAGGAGTGTGCAGTCCAGTCGAGGCTTGTCAACTCCGGGAAACAGAACTGATAACTAACACAAAAACAGTGAGGAAGGTCTTCAGCTGACTAAAGATTTTGCTCCTACAAGGAAAGTCAGAACTTCCCCAGGGCCCAAGCTGAGTCAGCTCTAGTCATCCCAAGCGGGACAAACACATTTGGCAAATCCTTTTTATTGGCAGCCTCTCTGGCACACAACTTTCCTTTGTTGGTTTACTTGTTTTTACCAAGGAGAAGACACTGTAGGCTTTGTAAGGAACCAAAGCAGCCTTTAACGGGGATAAGAAAGTCGGCTTTAACAAAGGAAATGACAGTGGAGGGGAACCCAATAATTCTGATTCCACAGTGAAAATAGGAGCGCAGTGGGGAGGCAAAGTGGAGAAATACTGAATATTGTGCAGAAATTCGTAATGTGCTGGGGAGGGGTGGCACAGGGAATAGGCAGATCCCAGCTACTCAGGACTCTGAGGCAATAGGATCAAAAGTTCAAGGCCACCCAGGGCAACTTAGACCCTTTCTAAAATAAAAGATACGGTAGCTGGCCATAGTGACATATGCCTATAATCCCAGCACTCTGGAGGCTGAGGCAGGGCTTTCCCACTGAATTAAATCTTTAACTCCCACATATTTTGATCTGTAGTTTATACTGAACCCAGTATTTAAAACCCTTGGGTTTGGAGGCCGGGGAGATGACTCAGTGGAATTAGCGCTTCCCTGGCAAGCGCAAGGGCCTGAGTTCAATCCCTGGTTCCACAAATAAATAAGTAAATAAATAAATAAATAAATAAAACCCTTGGGTTTAACTGGGAGTGGTGGTGCACATTGTAATCCTAGCACTCAGGAGGCTAAAGCAGGAGGATTGCTGTGAGTTGGAAGCCAGCCTGAATGGAACTGCATAGGGAAACCCTGTCTCAAAAAGATGAAATAAATAAATAAATACAAACATACATACATACTGGTACAACTGCAAAAAAAACCAAAAAATTTCCTTTCTTTGTTTTGTTTGGGGGGACAGTCTCAATATGCAACTCAGGCTGGCCTTGAATTCCAGGTGATCCTGCTGGGAGCCTGCCCATTAGCTCAGCTGTTCAGTGACTGCTCAAACAAAGCAGTTAGGCTCAGGTTGCTGTGGTTCAATCCCCAGATCCTCCTCAAGCCTTACTAAACCTGCCCTGAAGGTATCCTAAGCCAGCCAAAAAAAGAAAAAAGTGATCCTCCTGCCTCAGCCTCCCGAGTACTAGGATTAACAGATGTGCACCACCACACTTAGCAAATCATTTATTTGTTTGTTTGTTTGTTTATTATTTATTTATTTATTTTGCAGTATGGGGGATTGAATTGCAGTATTTGGGAATTTGTGCTTGTGAGGCAGGCGCTTATGCAACTGAGTTATCTTCTCCGCACCACCCCCCCTTTTTTTTTTAAATTTTTTTTTTAATTTTATTGATTTATGTGTGTGTGTGTGTGTGTGTGGCCAGCTCAGCCCACCAGGGGGCGGGGCTGGCTGGCATGTGGTGCTGGGGGATTGAACTGCGGTCCCTGTGCTTTGCTAAGCTTGTTCTAAGTAGGTGCTTTAGACCACTGAGCCATCTCACCAGCCCCACCACCCCCTTTTTTTGAGGCAAGGTTTTTACTATACAATTTAGGCTGATTTTGAACTCACTTCATAGCCCAGGCTAGCCTTAAACTCACAGCTATCCTCCAACCTCAATCCCAAGTGCTGGGATTATAGGCATTCACCATCATGCCTGGATAAATCTTTATTTCTTTTTTTAAAGTTTATTTATTTTATTTAGTGTGTGTGTGTGTGTGTGTGTGTGTGTGTGTGTGTGGCTCCAGCTCAGCCCACCTGGGGGTGGGGCTGGCTGGCATGTGGTGCTGGGGGATTGAACCGCGGTCCCTGTGCTAGACTTGTTCTAAGTAGGACAAGTGAGCCATCTCACCAGCCCCAAAATCTTTATTTCTTTAAATAAAAAAAATAAAGAAAAAAGAAAAAGGGCTGGGAAGATAGCTCAGTAGAATAAGCGCTTGTAGTTCAGAGGTAGTTCTCTAGATTTGATCCCCAGTATTGGGTGGGTAGGGGAGGGAAGGTCTAAACATGCACACAAGAAAGGCCCTTGGGTGCCCTACAGGAAAGAACCAGTTTAATTTTATTTTATTTTATTTTATTTTATTTTATTTTATTTTATTTTATTTTATGTATTTAGTACAGGGTCTTGCTATAGAGATCAGACTCTTAGTGATCCTCCTGCTTTCAGCCTCCCAGGCGCTGGGATTACAAGCGTGCGCCACCGTGTCTAGTCTCAGTCTGGTCTCAGTTGCCATCTCAACATACCCTAGGGTCGGGGCCAGGCACCAGGGATGCAGGGGATCGAACCCAGTCCCTGAGTCTGCCTAAGCAGGCACTTAAATCCACTGAGCTATCTGGCCGGCCAGTTTACCTTTATTTAGTTGAGTGGTGTTCACCTGAATTTCTACCACAAGAATTCTTCATAGGGCCTGGGAGATAGCTCAGTAGAATAAGCTCTTGCCTAGTAAGGTCCTGAGTTCGACCCCCTGTACCCGGAAAAAAAAAAAAAATCCTTTTTAGATTTTTTGGTTTTTTTGAAGAGATAGAGTCTTATAATGTTGCCTAGGCCAGTCTCAAACTCCTGAGCTCAAGAGAGCCTTTCATCTCAGATCCCTCAGTAACTAGGACTACAGATGTGTGCCCCCATGCTCAGGAGAACCCTTTCTTCTAATTAGCACATACTAAATTCTGGTGGGCAAGGGGCTGGGGAGATAGCTCAGTAGACTAAGCACTTACCTGGCAAGTGCAAGGTCCTGAGTTCAATCCCCAGTACCACCCCCCAAAAAAGTAAAAATAAATAAATAAATAAAAATGCTTTATTTTCAAAAAGCATGGTGAATGTAAATAAATAAATAAATAAATAAATTCTGTTGGACAGATTTTGAGACAAGCTGATCAGTAGTCTGTAAACACCCTGCATTATGAACAGTCAGGCCCTGAGAGCTGGAGGTGCTAAGGTACCCAAAGGAGCCACTTCCGGGATGCTTGCAAGGCTGCCTCCTGCTATTGAGTTCTGGACTTTTTTTTTTTTTTTTTTTTTTTTTTTTTTTTTTTTTTTGTCTTTTTGAGATGGTCTCACTATGCAGTTCAGGCTGGCCTTGACCTCACTCCTGTACCCCAGGCTGGTTTCAAACTCACAAGGATCCTCCTGACTCAGCTTCCCGAATTCTGGGATTACAGGTGTTCTGCCACACCAAGCTAAGTCTTAGCATTTCATAAATCAAGTTTTCTGAGAGATTTTTTTGGTACCCAAGAGGAAATTTTTTCCAACTATATCCTACCTTCAAAAAGTCTGTGTGGTGAGGTGGCACACATCTGTAACCTCAGCTTAGGAGGCTGAGGCAGGAGGATCACAAGTTCAAAACTAGCCTGAACAACATGGTGAGGCCCTGTGTCAAAATAAAATTAAATATAATAAAAGGGCAAAGGGCTGGAGATGTAGCTGTGTAGGAGAGTGCTTGCCTGGCGTGTGTGAGGCTCAGCAAAAAAAAAAAAAAAAAAAAAAAAGGAAACCAGGCCAGGAAGTTTGGTCTGTGGCAGACAGGACATTGGCTTTCCCTATCCTGCTACTCCAGTACCCTATATCTACGGCCCTGTTGTGTTCCCTGAAGGGCTGTTGTGGAGTCAGGAAGCAACAGAGTAGAAGGAGCAGCTCTGGCTGTTTGGGGAGACCCATGTTGTCAGACGGTTTGCCTGGTTGTCCTGGCTGAAGCTTTTGACCTTTTCTTTCTGAGTGTGGCAGGAGGTGACTGTGACAGAGCAGCATTCCCACAAGGCCACATGGTAGTGCAGGATGCTGATTCTGCCAGGCCTCCCGCTCAGTACGCTATTTCCCTGTCACGGTGACGGCCAGTGGCACAGGCCTGACTCACCAGCCTGCTGTGATGAAGCACCAGCAGACAGGAAAACGTCAGCAGGCGTCTGGGCTGATCCCTCTCCCTCATCCGCTCCCCAGAGCCAAGCCCTGCGGGTGGGAAGTGGTGTGTGTCCCAGCCTCCTTGCCCCATTTGCCTGTATGGCTATTGCTATTTCTGCCACTAACCTCTCTTTCCTTTCTGCCTTTGCTTTCTTGTTCCAGTGATGGCTACGGGTAAGCCAGAAGGGGGGTTGTCAATGAACTTTTTTTTTTTTTTTGTGGAACCAGGAATTAAACTCAGGACCTTGCGCTTACCAGGGAAGCGCTTAGTCTACTGAGCCATCTCCCCAGCCCCCTCAATGAACATTTTGACCCTTCTTCTAGTCAGTCTCTGCTGAACCCCAAAACTTTTCACCTTGAATTCCCAACATACTTCTTGGCTGGAATGGTGGGGGGTGGAGACAAGGCAAAGGACTCCGGCCATTTCCCTGAAACCCTCACATAAATTTTAGTCTCACTGAAGATGGAAGCCCTTAGGTCAGGTTCCTGAGGAGTGGTGCCTTCCTGGTATACTTCTAGCAGCAGAAAACCAACAGCCAGTCACACAGAACGCCTCTATCATGGGCATTGGTAATTTTGTGGTTCCCAAGTCATAGTAACTTCCTGGAACTTAAGGGAGGGGGGTGGTTTCCATTGTGACATACTGGATTTTATTAGTGATTTCTGGGAAAGGCAGAGGATTTGGAGCAGAAAATTGGGTGACCTGCCCCTTGCTCCGGCTTTGATTTCAGAGGTGAAGCTCTCAGGGCTCCCCACAAAACCTGAAGCGACACAGGGACCCTCGGGCACACCCCAAAGGGCCTGTGGGCCTTGGCCCCTTCCTCTTCCGCCCAACCTGTCCTCCAGAGCCCTGTGCCAAGAGCCTCTGTGACGTACCGTCTTCTTTCCCAGTTGCCCTCTACACCTCCATCTTCGGTGCACTCCAGCTGCTCTGCCTGCTGACAGCGCCTGTCATCGGCTACATCATGGACTGGAGGCTGAAGGAGTGTGAAGATACCTCTGAGGAACCTGAGGAGAAAGATGCCAGCCAGTGCGTAGGCCCTGGTCCCACCCCCAGTCCCTGGAGAATAACCTTTGAGTTGCATATTAGGCAGACAGGCTGGGTGGGCTCCATCCTACAGGCAGCAGGAAGACCAAGTCCAGCTCAGCACTACCCAGTCAGGTCTCCCCTCTTGTGGAAATTCTTTGGTTGCTAAAGTTTGAGAGGCACTCGGATAGAAATGGGATAAACCAGAGGAAAAAGCCATGCAGCCACAGGGCGACCACGGGCTCCGTGGCAAGGGCAGTACTATGGGGCCATCCTCGCATCACTTACCTACAGGGTTTGTCCCACCCTGTGTGAATAGTAAGCTGCTACAACCAGATGTGTTAATAGGTTTGTTGATGATTATGAGATGAAACAGGGTGCTGGAGCCCTACTTTATGGAAGGGCTGGGCTCTAAGATCAGAAGATGAGTTAACTGCCATCTTCTATGACTCCACCTTAATATAACAAAGCTGCTGTTCACTGTATGAAGCCCAGTGCCAAGCACTTAATACACAGTGCCTTGGTTAAGCCTCACAACACCACAAAGAGGTGTGGGCTAGTGGTGTGCCCATTGTACAGATGCAGGAACTAAAGTTAAGAATTTGGCTCATAGGACTCTGTGCACATCTCTGAACACTTGGCGTTCATTCTGGGGTGCTGTGTGATCTTCCATGGGGTGTCAGTGTGGGTGGCGAAGCTGGAATCAGTTCATTTACAAGGAAATAATTACAGAGAATGCCCTGTTATCTAGGTCAGGTTGACAGCAGGGAGGTTATTTGTGCCCATCCCTGTTCCATCTGCTGAATATTTATTTGTCTTTTCTCCTGCCCCTCAAGGGATTTGCACCCTTCTTTGGCTTATTAACTGGCTTATTACCAGCCTCCTGCAAGATTTGGGTGAACCGGAAGCCAATGGCAAAGCAAGACTTTGCCACATCCTAGTTTGGCACATTCTGCCCTTCACACCCCATCGTCTGTGCCTGTTTTTCTTCACTGAGCAGTGCAGTGTTGAGGGCTGGCTGCTGTTGTCAGTGATCTTCTCATTCACTGTTTGATCAGGAAGGTTGACTGGTGGTGACCTTAGGGCCCATCCTGTCCTGGCATAGTGCCCAGGATGTGCGTGGGTGGGCTAGGAGCCTCACACCAGTCCATATCCTGTGGCTCTGACGCCTGGCTTCTTGGAGGGGGGTGTCCCTCTACCTCCATGAAGCCCCCAAGGTTATGTGCCTGCTCTGTCTCCACAGAGGTGAAAAGAAGCGGGACCGACAGATCCAAAAGATTACCAATGCTATTCGGGCCTTTGCCTTCACAAACCTGCTGCTTGTAGGCTTTGGGGTGACCTGCCTCATTCCCAATCTGCCACTACAGGTAGGTGTTGGGGGAGGAAGAGGCCACCTGGGGAATGGGACAACAGGAAGTATGTGGTGCCTCATGGAAGCCATCAACAAAGCCTGTGTGACTACATTCATTTGGTGTAACCAGCCAGCCGCCGTTCTTTACCAACAGCCTGTTATCTGCCAGGTGTGCTCGAAGCAGGGCAAGCTGGAAGGAACAGGTGGTTTTCCACACAGTTCTTCTCCATAAAGGCATACTGTTCTTGTGCTTGGGAGACCTTGCCCAGCATAAGCACTGCACTCCCTGGACTGTGTGCAGTGGCTGCGTGTTTGTTTTGCATTAGATCAAACAGCTGGAATCCCATGTCCAAAGAGGTCTGGTATTCTGTGATGTTGCTGGGAGCATTCCTCCCCCGCAGGTACAAGAGTGCCCATAGGAGGTAGGCATGACGGTGTATACTTGTAAGGCCAGCTCTCTTGGAAGCTGGGGCAAGAGGATCAAAAATTCAGACCACCCTTGGGCAATTTAGTCTCAAAAGAGAATGCCCGCAGCCCTTTACCCTGAGGAGGGCTAGACAGAGAAGCTGGAGAAAGACTGTGATCATGGCCTGTGATCTAGGATCAAAGGCTTAATTCTAGGGCTGGTCAAATAGCTCAGTGGATTAAAGCACCTGCAAGCAGGCTCAGGGGCTGGGGCATTCAATCCCCAGGCCTGTCGTGCCAGCCGTGCCCCCAGGGAGCGCTGAGTTGGCAATTGAGGCTGGGTGTGGTGGTGCACGCATGTAATCACAGCTCTTGGGAGGCTGTAAAACAGGCAGTCACTACAAGTCCAATCTACTAGTAAGACCCTGAACACCCTGTATACCTTTTCCAAAAAAAGGCTTAATTCCTTTGTATAAGATTGCTGATACTTGTGAGAGATTGTCAAGAAGATTTTGTCACACCCCTGGCTCCACTCTATGGTCTATGAATATTCTAATACTACAGTAGTTTAGGCCCTGACCCCAAGTTTACATACTCTGAAAGGACACAAATGCTAGCACTGCCTCCAGGTAGGTATGGCCTGAGTCCAGATGGTGTCTCAGGACAAGCCCATGAGGAAGGCCACAGAGACTCCCTATTTACAAATAGCCAGGTACAGAACTGCATTGAGCACACGGGTATGTGCACACACAGGTCTGTTGTGTATGTGCTAACACTACACACACCGAGAACAAGCTGTGGGAGACTTGCACAGATCCGGGTGGGAAGGTCATCGCTTCACAGATATCCCCCTGGCCTCCCGGGCTGTCCTGTCTGAACACTGGTAGACCCTCTTGCTGATTCTCTTGGCTAATCAAGAAGTAATACTCAGTGGGGAACAGCCATCTGCGTTTTATTCTCATTGTGTTGTGTTCTCATTGGAGAAAAAGTTAAGAAAAGGCAGCAAGGAACTTGGAATGGAGACGAACCTGCACAAGTATGTGTATACTTGGACAAGGTGGTCTTCAACCCTGGCTGGAGCAGCCCCTGCCCCCTCCACCACCCACATTCCTGAGGGCACGTCCTTTCACTGCCAAGCAAGATGGCAGAGCTGTGTACAGGAAGCCCAACAGACAAGCACAGGGTTCTCTCAGGGATCGCTGACCAACAAGGGCTCCCAAAGCTTGCTAAGCCCACAGAGACCATCCCAGGAAGGGCCCCTCCTGTGGTCTCCAGGGGGAGACTTTGCCAGGGAGGTATGAAGGAAGCCACCTTCCTGGAGGCCCTGGGCAAGCAGGCAGGCATGTCTTTGGGCGAGTGTTTGGGTGGGGGGAAGATTAGAGATTAAGGTCACAGTTTCTACTCTGTGTTGTACAGATACTTACTTATCTATAGACAGTTGGGAGGCTAGGAAGAAGGGTCCCTGATCTGTAGCATCGGTAGATGTACGTGACATCATCATGGCTGTACCCATGACTGACCTCAGAGAGCCAATGTGATGTCACAGGATGTAGTAACTCACCATCCTGTGGTTATTTCCACCTGACATACAGTACACATAAGACACCTTCAGGGGCCGGGGAGATGGCTCAGTGGAATAAACGCGAGATGGCTCAGTGGAATAAACACTTCCCTGGCAAGCGCAAGGGCCTGAGTTCAATCCCCAGTTCTGCAAAAAAAAAAAAAAAGACACCTTCAGAGTACAAATAGTAGTGAACTATAATAAAATAATTAGGAAGTGATAAGTTTTGGGCATTCATTACCTTTATTTTAATATAATCTACTTAATTACAAGTTTATGTAATTTAATTTTTAACAACTTTTTATAACTGGCTATAAAATTGCTAAAATTCCAACAGTTGCTTCTAGAGCCAACTCCAGGTTGCCACCACTCCCGTGGCTCAGGACCCCAGGAACTAGGAGGCAGGTTACAAGGTATGGGGCTTGGCCGTCTTCTGCTCACTCTCTGTTCTCCCTCCTTCAGATCTTCTCCTTCATCCTACACACGATCGTGCGAGGATTCATCCACTCTGCTGTCGGGGGCCTCTATGCTGCTGTGTGAGTCTCTCAAGTTTCATGTGACCTGGTGGACTGGGGGAAGCTGTGACCTGAGGAGGTGGGATCGAGACCCCGAGGCCAGGCCACCCTGTCCTGGCAGCTTGCCCTCCTGCATCAAGGGACAGATGCCAGGCTTTTTGCTGGGTGTGTCGGGAAGGCCATACCTGGCAGGAGGTGGGTCAATGTGCAGACAGTTGAGTGCCCACAAGCCTTGCCATTTAACACGAAGTCAGTTCGCCCCAGCCGTGCTCAGTGTCCCTAAGTGGCATGTGAGGCCCTCAGAGCCACTGCTCAGCCAGGTTCTGGGGCCATCCCAGGCTGCTCACTGGAAAGGACAGGGTAGGTTCTGACTGCCGGGAGCTAAATGCTGCAGTTTAATATCTCTCAACAGACTCAGTGGCATGGATAACTGAGCCCGGAATGTGCTGGATTGTCCTAACCCAGGGCCTCCATGGCCATCACCTTCCTGAGCTATGGCTACAATGAAACCTACATCTTCTTCTAAAAGGCTACACAGTGGTTCCTCCTTCTTTGGCCAAGGATTGCCCCCAAATCTGGAACCCAAATGTCCTCATCCGGTGTCTCTGACCATAGAGCAGCCTATTCCTTGCATGGAGCCCCTCCCACACCTGGGACTGCAGGTTTCATGTTTGTTGAGATTTAGCCCAGAGGTCCCGCCCTGTTCCAACAGCATCCCACGGGGGTCATTTCAGGTCCCCTCTCCCCCGCTTTCTCCCTGCAAGGCCTGGAGGAAGTTGTGGCTGCCCTGGCAGGGTGTGCAGGAGGCAAGCAAGGGCTGTGATGCCGAGTTTCCGTGATTACACAATGCTCCTCTGGAGGAGGGCAGAGCAGAGCCAGGCCCAGCCTCCAACCTGCCCCCTGGGCCCATTTCCCAAGCCACAGACTCCCGCTGGCACAACACTTTGTACACAGCTTGGCCAGACACCCATAGGCCCCAGGGAGATCTTGGGGAGTGGGGTGTGGGCTCTCCCAGAGTCTGGGCCCTCAGGCTGGTATGAAAGCGAAATTAAAGAGTTGCTTGGCAGAAAGTAATCCAGAGACCAGCACCCAGGCATCCTGAGACTGTTCCTGTTTCTTCCTGCAAGGGCTTAAGGTGCAGCACTGGGCTACCAGCACACCTGGCCTAGGCCAAGGCTGAGGCCAGGTCTGGGAAGCCTGAGAGTGACACTGGCTGAAACAGTCTCATTTGTTCCCACAGGTACCCTTCTACCCAGTTCGGCAGCCTCACAGGACTGCAGTCTCTGATCAGCGCACTCTTTGCCCTCCTGCAGCAACCGCTTTTTCTGGCCATGATGGGTCCCCTCCAGGGAGATCCTCTGTGGGTAAGAAGGGTTAAGATGTTGGTGTCAGGTATCTGCTCCAGCTCCACTGTGACAAAGAGCTGGGAGGCCACGTTGCTTGGGGGCTGCGGAGCTCTGAGGACAGGCAGTTTGCAAACTTTGGTTATGTCTGAGTCAGGGCGTCCTTGTAAGTGGTAGCTAGGCAGGGGAAAAATAGCCTCCCTGGACCTGATTTTGGGATAAGACTTTCTAGTTAAGAGCAATGGCAAATACCCATAATCCTAGCTACTTAGGAGGCTGAGCCAGGAGGATTGTAAGTTTGAGTGTATCCTGGGCAATTCAGCAATATTTTGAAAGGAAAAAAAAAAAAAAAAAAGGACTGGAGATGTAGTTCAGTGCTCCCTGGGTTTAATTCCCAGTGTGGTGGTAAGGAGGAGGAGTTCTTGTCCTAGCCCTTGCCAAGGGCCAGGGTTCTTCACCAGGTACCTGCTCTACCATCAATAGCACTCTCACCTGTGGGACTAGATCAGTAGGTCCCCCAAGAAGGGCGTAGGCCCTTAGGGCTGCTGGGTGGTCTGTAAAGAACCAGAAATTCACTTGGATGCTAGAATGAGGACCAACAGGCCCTGAGACCCATTGAACTTTCCTGGTTCAGTTGCCCCTTTGTCTCTTGTGACCCCCTCCTATCCCCACGCCTGGCTGTAGGGGGTGGGCAGGGAGTGGGTAGGTGTGAGCTGGGCCCTGCACATCCCCAGCTCTCTGTGATGGCTGCTCCGCCCCGTCCCCAGGTGAATGTGGGGCTGCTGGTCTTGAGCATGCTGGGCTTCTGCCTACCACTCTACCTGGTCTGCTACCGCCGCCAGCTGGAAAGGCAGCTGCAACAGAAGAGGGAAGACAGCAAGCTCTTCCTCAAGATCAACGGTTCATCCAACCGGGAGGCCTTCGTGTAGCACCCCCTGGCTCTGAACTGTGGTGTCCTGCCTGTGCTTCAGTGACTGGCCGCTGTCCTCCCCACCCCAGAGGACCTGCACACTCGCAGGATTCTCTCCTTTACCATTTTGGAGGCCACGTTTCCTCCAAGGCCCTGGTTCTGCCTTGGAGCTCTGCAGTGGAAGGACAGGAATGGGCTGAGGATGGGAGACTTTGCTGGACAAAGAACAGCCCTGGCTCTGCTCTGGCACCCCCAAAGGACCCTGGGGACTTGGGTCTCCATGGTGCCTGCAAGAGGAGTCAAGGTCACCCCCCAGCAGGCAGGCCCTGTCCCTCAAGGCTCTGGATTCTGCCTTGTGCCAAAGCAGAGGGGCCTGCCACCCACTACCCAGCACCTGCCCCTCAGCCGCATGCCCACCGAGCACGCCTACCTAAGGACAAAGGCTTGCACTGTCTGCACCCCCTCTCCTGGCCCCTTACAACCTCCCCTGGCCAGACTGTGGCTGTCTGAGGAAGGAAGGACCCGCTTCCTGTTGTTGGTGCTAACCCCTTTGTAATCCCACTCCCCTGTGGCCTGTCCACAGCCTGTCCTCTCGTGTGAGGCCTGTGGAGAAGCCCTCCTGGCTCATAGCCTGGAAAGGGGATGGAAGCAGGATGGTTACACAAAGCCACAGAGGCCATGGACACTGGCTGATCGGTTGACCGCCCCCACCTCCTCCCTCAGGGTGGAGGAGGGAGCACATTTCCACTGCCACCCTCGTCCAGTCTACCACCTGATTTAAGGGAATTAAAGGGGCACTGCCAGGGCAGCCCCTCCCCCAACACAGCTGTTTCTGTGGGCCAGGCAGATAGGAACTCCAGGCCTCTGCAGGGAAGTGGATTGGTGTATGTGAATGAGATGTGCGTGTATGTGTTATGTATGAGGTGGGGTGGGCTGTAAGGTCTGCCCTTATCCCCACCAACCTCCCAGGCCTGCTGCAGAGCCAGTGTGCCTGGAGCCAGCCTGGCCTCATGGGCAGTAGCTTGTCCTGGCCACATAGCCACAGCGCCCCCTGCTGGCTGACTCCGTCAGGGCTCTGAAGCTGTTTTGGGGAAAAAGCCAAGCCTCCCTGGCTCACCAACCTGCCCACCTCAACTACCATCAGAAGTGTGTTTGAGATCTCCCGTGTGCTCAGAGCAGTGTGTTGACTTTTAGGTCTTTAGTTATTTTTCTTTTAAGTTTTATCAGACTTCTTTTTATAAAGCAATAAATCCATTTTCCTCCTGGCAAGGGAACCCCCCTTCTAGCATATCCCTAATATGTGACTGTTGTAAGTTCAAGAGGGAAAGGCAGGACAAGATACTCTGCCATGGAGCAGCCCTATCCTTACCTATCGTTGCTCTGAGTAACCCACCTGGAAAAGACACTTATTTTCCAGGCCAGGAAAAGATACTCTACCTCTACCCCAGCTAAATTGGGCTCTGCTGACATGTGAGCAACCCCCTCCTTGAAGACTATCCAGCTAAACACATTAATCCTGGCCCCTCATCTCCTACACAGATTTCCTGTTGCTGTCCCACAATCTTAGGGGTTCTCCTGAGTGTAGAACACAGGGTGACTCGAAGAACCCCCCAGGCTTAGAAAATAGCATCAGGATGTGAGGGACAGAAGCAGGGAAGCAGCTAGGCCGAATTCAAGCTCCACAGTACAATCACTGAGTCTCCTTGGCTCCTACCTGCTTCAGTGTTGTTGAAAATCACAACCCAAACAGTAATGAGCTGGGGGTGTGAGTCAATAGAAGAGTGCATGTTTAGCATGAGCATGCCTCCAGGTCCCATCCACAACGCCAAAGGAAACCCGAACAACAACAAAATCAGGCAGCACATGCCTGCAATCTCAGCACTCGAGAGGCTAAGACAAAAGGATCACTGAGTTTAAAGCCAACCTAGGGGCTGGTGAGATGGCTCAGTGGTCTAAAGCACCTACCTAGAACAAGCTAAGCTAAGCTAAAGCACAGGGACCACGGTTCAGTCCCCCAGCACCACATGCCAGCCAGCCTCGCCCCCTGGTGGGCTGAGCTGGCCACACACACACACACACAAATAAAAAAGCCAACCTAGACCATGTCTCAAAAAAAAAAAAAAAAAGTGTGGTGGTTAAAAAAAATTTCTCCAAGCACTAATTTTGATGTGTTAATGGTTATTCTAGTTATAAAACTTCATAGCCAAGTTTAAGAAATAGTTATAGTCAAGCCATTTCTTTTCAGTGAGTACTCAGCACCCCCTGCAGTCATTAATGCTTTGCCTATCCAGGCGGGTGTGGAGTGTTAGCAAAGTACCCCTTGGGTGTGTGTTCCCATGGCCACCCATAACAGAAGCTCTGGTGCTGTTGGTCTGTCCTCTGGCTGGTGATTCTGGTCTCCAGAGTTTGAGACTCATTTGGGGGAATACTGACTGGTAAGGACCCTCCCAACTAGGAACATTGGTAGACAGCCCTGCTGTTCAACACCTGGGCCTGGCCACCCTAACATTGGGATGTAGCACTTTTGAGAAGATGCTCGCACTGAGAAACTAGGAGTGAGAATGGGATACAGTGGATGGCCAGCGGTGTGTTGACGGCAGTGGCATGAGAAAGGGAGCCAGGTATGGAGGTCGTAAAAACCTGATGGGTCAGAGGTAACTTGCCTGAGGTTAGAACTAGGGCTTCCATGTGGAGCTGAAGTCACTGCAGCAACCAAGGCCCTGTAGACCAGGATGTGCCATTTGGAGCAGCTGCCTGAGGGTCACCCAGGCCTCTGCAACAGGGCAGCAATATCAAGGGGAGGACAGCAAGCTCAGGAGCCATCTCTGGAGCCAAAGCTTCCTCGGTGCTGTGAGCTCTTCTGTTCAGTAGTCATTTGGGCCCTGCAGGCTGATGAGTATTTTCCTGGTCATCCCATCCTCAAGAGGAATGCCTGTGATGGGGACCAGGCCACAGACTGATAACAGCAAGGGTACACCAAGTGGTCACAGCCATGCCTTCATCTCCCCACCACCACCCTTGTCCTCCCTAGACTCCCCGCCATCCCTTTGTGGTGGTTTTGAGCAGTCCTTGCAGGTGTTTGCCTGCAGCGCCCTCTGCTGGGCCTTGTCCATAGTGAAGGTTTTAGCCCTTGTGAAGGTCAATGAGAAAGAAGGTGCAGCCCTAAGGGATGCCTTTCATCTGTCTCCTCTCCCTGGCTGTTCCTGTGCTAAGTAAGCTTCCTGCTCAAAAGAACTTCTATGCAAACCCTCCTTGTGGTGGCCCCACGCGGCCCAGCCAGTCTGAGGAGGCCGCCACTCTGCTCACGTCCCCAGGGACTGTGAAAGTAGGGGGATATCCAACACTGGGGTCCCACTGGCAGGACCGTCCCAGACAGTAGCATACACACGACTGGCTCAGTGGAGATTTAAGTGCACTTGCATGTGGCCGGCATGAACTGGAGCAGAACAGCTGGGGCCGGATGATGAGGACTGGGGACAGGCTGCAGTGCAGGGCCACGCAGGGGTTTCTCAACAGAATTAGGCTCAGGTGCCTTTCAGCAGCAGCTTCTCCCCCCAAAGAGGGGTACAGTGAGTGCTCATAGGCTCTTAGGGCAGCAAGGAGCCTCATCTGTGCCTGTGACCAAGCGACCAGCTTAGAGATAGTGGTTCATTTTCCCCACCAACTGTGAGCTATGAGGTTTGGGAGCCTAGATGGTCCTCAGGCTGCAGCCCCCTTTTGGGGTGTGGGATCAGAGTGAGCAGGTGGTCCCATGAGACTGGGCTGCTGTTCTGCTTCACTGTGAGCTCTGGGGTGTAGCCAGAGCTTCGCAAGTGTCGAGTTGTCACATCCTTATAAGGGTGGCCTGCCCTGGAACTGGCCTGTTCCTGCCAACATGGACCAACCACTTGTGCCTGCCCTTGATGCTTGGCGGAGGGAGGCTGTCTCTTCATGCTGAGGAGACAGCAAGGGAAGAACAAAGGTTGGAGACTACATCACGTATTCTCTTGGTGCCTTTAGGCGGGTCTCAAGCCTCAGTTTCCTTCTCTGTAAATGAACATAGCAATACCCTCACAGTGCTAAGTGAACACACAAGTAGCACATGTATGCAATAGCATGACTCTTACCAGGCATTTAACCATAGTGGGATGGATTGTTCTCGTGGCCCTGGAAGAGGACAGGAAAAAAAGGCAATCCCTTCCCATGCACATACCCCTATATGACAAGATTCCTACTTAGGTGACTCTCACCAAGGACTTGTGGCCAGGTGAAGAAAAAAAGAAGAAAATGAGGTCTGTTTTTCCTGGACCTGTTCCCCTCAGAACCTCTCCCTCAGCAGAGCCTTGTGAAATTATTTCCAGCCAGATATAGTGGTGCACGCCTGTAATCCACACTGAGGCTGGACTCTGCTGTGAGTTCAAGGCCAGCTCGGGCTACCTAGTGAGATCCTATCATAAAAAGAAAAAAAAAAAGTTACTCCCTTGATCAGTTTTCCTCTCTGTCTTTCACATTTTCATAGAGATTTGGCCAAAGGACATCTCCAGTTCATCTCTAAAGCGGGGAGGGGGGAGTGTGGGCAGGCTTATACTGAGTGAGGTGACTCAAATCCCAGCCACAGGTAGCACCCCAATGCTGCCTCCTTGGACATCTGCTTGGCTGTGCCTCTAACCATGTGTGTATGTTTTTTGTGCATGTTGTGGGTGTGTGTGTGAGGCTGAGATATATTCTGAGCACATCAGGATGTGTATGTGTTTAGAGGCGTGTGTAGCAGCTTGCTTGTGTGCCTTGCCCTGGGGGAGCAGGCAGAAATGAGCTTATCTTGATACTCTCCACTGCTAGAAGGAACATCCAGGCAGGCTGGGTCCAGGGTCCAGGGCCCTATCCAGGCCTTCAGAGTGGGGTCTGGGGGAGTGATTCTGTTCCCTATGTTAAGCAGGGCTCAGTAGTGTGGCTGATAACTCAGCAGCTGACCCTTACTCCTCCCTGCCCTTTTGCTCTCTCTAGCACCTGGCTTATTCGTTGGCACACAGCAAGCACTCAATAAATGTATGCTGAGAATGACTCAAACTTTTTCTTCCTATACTCTTCCTGGGTCTCTTGCTGCCTCTGACAGACTCTTGCCAGAACTGCTGTCTGAGCCCCCAAGTGAGGCTCTGTTCACCAGTTTGGCTTCTGCACTGCCTCTAAAAGACATGCAGGGCAGGCCAGGGTGAGCATGAGTGGCCTCCAGTGCTAGAAGGCCCAGGCTGCTGCAGAATCCCAGACCTAGAGGGAGTTCCCCCTGCCCTTCCTCCTCCAGGATTCCCAGGTGGTCACCTCCTATCTCCCACTGGGGCCCTGGGGAGAAGGAAGAGAGCTCCAGGCAGAGCCACAGTAAACCAGGAGAGGACGGGCTCCTGCTGGTCCTGCTTGAGGCCTGGCATCTGACCCTGTGGGGTTCTGGAGACCTGAGGCACAGGGGAAGGTGAGGATGGTACAGTGTTTGTGGACCCTGCAAGCCAGTAGACAAAGAGCCATTAGGCGGATGTGGGGCATGGTGGCCCTTCCTTGTCACACCTGCAAACTCAAGCTGAACTCCACCACATCCTTTGTTGTAATCTTTCATCTCCCTAACTTTGATAGACCACACAAAAAAATATTTCCAATGTAAGGGAGCCACGGCCTAAGCTCTGCAGTCATACATGCAGCTCGACATTGGCCTCCATGTCAGGGGTGTAAGGGGACTTGGTTGGGACTTGGAGAACACAGATCCCATCAAGGGGGACATCCTCAATGAGCTCTGGCCAACTGCTGCCCTGTGGAGGTGAGCCCTGTGTGGCCAGATCTTCTAATTTTTATTTTTATTTTTCTCAAGAAAAGCTGAAAATCCTGAGTTCTACATAAAATATCCCCCTTTCAAATGTCAGCTCAAAAAAAATTTTTTTTTAGAAACTATCACAGCTGCTCAAAACATATTTAACCCTGTGTGGGTCAAACAGTGCAGAAGTAGGAAGAGAAGCCAGAATGAGGGCCTCCTTTGGTCAGCAGGGGCCCTGCCCTTTCTGCCTTCTACATGTCACACTTGTGTCCTTCCTTACACTGTGGCCCTGCATGGCAGGGGCCCTTCCTGCTTCAGTCTCCTCTGGCCTGGCTCACAGCCAGCACTGCTGAGGGCGCAAGTGGGTTGTGAACTAAGTGGCACACAGTCTCTACTCAGGGACAAGGGCTTGTCAGAGGAACTCTGAGGAAAGCCAGCTCACGCTCACCAAAGATGGGCCAGGCTGACTCCTGTGTCTAGGGGGAGGAACTGGGTAGCAAGGTCCCATGTCACTCCG